TTTTTTTTTTCCCAAGTCATGCAAAATATTTTTAAATTAAAAAAAGATCAAAAACAATAGACCAAGCATATTCCAATAGGCGAGCTTATATCTGTTGCATGGGAACGACTACATAGGTATTTATAAAATTCGCCATTGTTTACTGTGGACACCGTCTTTGTAAATAAATCTTAAAATTCGTTCTGGTGTTGGTTATTATCTCGTATGCTTTTATCATCTAATACGTATTACATGTGGATTTTTTATGCTTTTCATGCTTGTGCTATGGTTCAACGATAATTCTTTTCTCTTTTCTTTTTTTTTGCTTGGTGTATATTATACATATTTTTAGTAGATGAAGATGTTTTTTCTCTAGTTGTCAAGTGCATGCTTATTAAAAATTTTGAAATATTTGAAAACATTATTTTTTCTTCTTTCAATGAGTTTTTTTACAAACAGTAAAATCTCTCAGATTTAGCATTTATACGTTCAACAAATTTTTTTTCTTCTCATCCGACTAGTCGAATTCAAAACAAGAAAAAAAAACAAAAACATTTTTTGTGCTTGTAGACGTATACTACATAGATAGAACCAACAAATAGTTGATACGATGCTTGTTTGATGAAATAGAAAAAAAAAGATTGTGTTAGTAACAACTAATGTGCATAGAACGATACTTAATGTAAATTACACACTGACACATTTTTATACTTTACGTTAAAGAAAAAAAAAAAAAAGAAAAAAACAATCTTACGAAAAAGTACCTCTAAAGCCGTATCGTTATCATAATGTGTACCTGAACATTTTTATACATTATCTATACATACAAACATTTAGTTAAAAAAAAACGATGAGTGCAATTATTCACGATCGTCTTGGTTGATGCTTGCTATATCCTTTCTACAGTACATGATACATGGGGTGGGAATCTTAAAGATGAATAAAATAAAAATTTATGTGTAGGCCCGTAAAAAGCGCCAAGAAGAAGTGGAAAAACTTCGTTTGGAAGAACAACAGCGCAAGCAACAGGTAAATCACCTAATCCGTTGTTTTGTTGCAGCCGCGTAATGTTTTATTGCATACTTTTTGTATTTTTTTCAACTACAATTTTTGTTTTTTTTTTTTTGTTTGTCGCAGGAACGAGAAATGAAGAGGCAACAAGCAGTTATACTGAAAGAACAGGTTGGTACTGCTTAGATGCAACGCTAGGGCAGAGTTTTTGCGAGTGATTTTCTACTGAATTACTTCTATCGTGTGCTGTAGAAGTAGTTTGAATTCTCACATTATCTTCTTTTTCTGCTATTTTTATGAATCGTCAAGAAAAAATTTTTTTTTTCGAATTAATAATCATACAATGTATTGTTTATTGAATTTTAAACACTCGCCAAGTGTTAATTGAAAAAAAAAAAAAAAATAGATAAACGAGAAAATCATACAATTTGATAAATTAACTAAAAGGCACTTGTTGACGAATAAATCACGATTAAAAGCTTTTAGTAAAATTTTTGTAAAATAGCAAACGAATAGTTTTTACGGAATCACGTGTTTTTCAACTTATCAAAAAGTTAAAAATTTCGGATGAAAAAAAATAAAAAAATAAAGTTTTACGCGCAAGTAGCTCACTTAAAGGAAAAAATTATATTTGAACGAAAAAAAGCCAATGGTTGGCAACGAGAACAAAACAATCCTTAGAGTATTAGTATACGTAGCGTTGGCTTGAGCACTGGTGGACTTGGATGTGTTTTGTGCTACAGATGTACATGCAGGAGCTGACCAAGCAGCGCGAGATGCTCTACACCGTCGAGCTGGTACGTCCCATTGATATCGACGTTATCTCCCTTGCATTGAACAGGCACATTATCAGATCATAAACTCAAACCACACGCAGTTTGCATTTTTTTTTTTTTTTTTTCTAACGCCCGCTTGTACCTCCTATGGATACTGTGATGAAAAATATTGCCTCAATAATTTCAGACACCGCTTTTGTAAATTTTTGTTGCTTTTAATACCCGTTATTTCACAATTAATTTACGTTACATGTGTTGCGTATGAATGTACGAACTTTCTTCAAAACGCGATCGGTGATAAAGTACGGATAAAAAAAGCATCCAAGTGAATTGCACGAGAGTGGGTTATTTTGGTACACCTAATTTTGTGTAGATAGTGTGCATGACACGAAAGGTGGTGGACGTTTTTGTCACCCGTAGAAAGTAGCGTATAGTTTAATCTCAATTGTTTCTTATTCCTCTTGACAGGAGCGAGAGCGCAGGCGGCAGCACATGAACCTGATCCGGGCACTGGAGAATCGGCGCAAAATGGAGGAACGTGAACGCAAGAGGCTAGAAGCCCGGGCCGAGAGGATAGCTTCGAAGGAGCGCCGGGCTGAGCAGCGCCGGCTCGAGCTCGAGCTCGTCGAGCAGATTCGCAAGCCCGTCGAGGACATGGAATTGGCCGACCAGAAGGCCCTGCCGAAGCTACGCCGGCTGCCGGGGCTCAGGCTGAGCGGCCAAGCGTTCGCCGACATCGTCATGGTATTTGAGTTCCTTCACAACTTTGGCGAGACCCTCGGCTTCGACATGGACTCGCTGCCGAGTTTGCGCAGCCTCCAAGCGGCCCTGCTCAACGACGAGGAAGCCGAGGAAGAGCTACTCTCGGTGATGACCCACCTGCTCGTCTGCGCGATCGAGGATCCCGGCATACCCCAGCCGGCGCGTCATACGACTGGACTTGGGCAGAGCTTGCGCCAGGCTGACATCACCCACGCTAACCTGAGCGAGGTCTTGCGCATCTACCTGTACGCCAATGCGACCGGCGAGGTCAAGGCTCTGACGGGGGTCTGTTTGGAGCGCGAGCGCGACAAGAGGCTCGCCGACCACCACCAGAACGCACCGACGGACAACGGGCCTCCCACGGGTAGCGGGAAAAACGCCCAGTTTTACGAGCACCTGCACAGCAACGAGACCTGGCGCATGTCCGAGCGTCTGCGGGACAAGCCCTTCCTCGCGCTCAACCCGACCCACAAGGCACAAATGCTCGCGTTCCTCTGCAACGAGCTGCTCCAGAACAAGGCGGTCACCCGCCAGATCGAGCAGAGCCTCGAGAACGTCGCCCAGCTCAAGAAGGAGCGCTTTCTCCTCGACACCAAGATACGCAAGCTACGACAGTTGCACGCGCGTAAGCAGCGCATGGAGGCCGTGGGTGTCATCGTCAACAAGTCCGCCGACGGCATCAGTTTGACTCCTCTGATGGCGGTGGGAGCCTCGGTTATGGCTGGATCGGCAACGACGACGACAACAATCATAGCGATGACGAATAATAATAGTAGTACATCTACGACGACGGTGACAGTGGGGACGCCTACGACGACGGTGGCGTCCGCCACTGACGCGTGTAGTACCATTCCCACGATTGCTACCAGTACCGTTACTACTGGTACCAGTACCACAGCTGACGCGAGTGACGCTCTGCTGGTGGAGAATAAGAAAGAGCCCGAGGTGAACGAACAGCCGACTTCCCCGACGCTACCTCCGCCACCACCTCCACCACCACCGCCGCCTCCAGCGCCAGCCCCGGCACCCGCCGGGCACGATGAGTCGCATCACGAGGACGAGGCCCATGACGAGGAGATGTCGGAGAACGAGAGCGAGGGCACCCAGCCCGAGGAGGTGAGTGCTTTGTTGTATTTATTTCCCGTGACGAGGCTACGACTGATTTTTTCCTGCGTTGTTTCCAGGAGGAGGACAAAAATCTGTCGGCCGATGAGCTTGGCAAGAAGCTCGACAAGTTGCTCAAGCAGTCCGAGGAGCAGCTACAGAAGCTCAACGGTTCGTCCAAGGAGCTGCGAGCACACATATTCGGCCAGGATAGGTACTGGAGACGATTTTGGGAGTTACCCTGTGCCGGTGGGGTGTTCGTCGAGGCCATGGAGAGCGCCGAGCCGGAAGTGCTCCCGCTTCAGGCTGAGCTGGACGAAAAGTACAAGAACGCGCCGCCGAAAGAAGAGCCACCAAGCGAGGCTGAACAGCAGAAACAGTGGCAAAGTAACGGGCCCAATGATATCAGCGACGCGTCTCTTAACGATGCTACGCACGATGACGACGAGGAGCGGGAGCCCGAGAAACTCGCTGCTGACGTTGCTGTTGAGCAAAACTCGACCGAACAAACAAATAGCAACGATAATAAGAACGTGCATAACAATCACTGCAACTCCGAGCTGATCAACAACTCGACTGACGAGGTGAAAAAAGAAACAGATATCGTGGCTGACGACAACGAGGATGACGAGGTAGCCAAGGCAAACAAACTCGAGGGTTCGAACAAAGTGAAACAAGAACTTGCTGACAACGTAGACGTAAACGTTAAGACGGAGGAGCCCGAAAAATTGGAAAATTGTCCAAACGGCGATGATGGCACCCCAAAGCTCGACGGCCTTAAGATGGAAGACAAAATTTCCGAGGCAATTGCAAACGGAGACAAATTCAATTTGCCCAACGGCAAGGAATTGAACGGTAGTTTTCCTTCTGGTAAGATTTATTGGATGCTGGTGACAGTTATTATACGTACTTACAATAACTTGATCGAGTAGACGGGTCATACGAGTAACAAATTTCATTTCAGGCAATGACAATGGCGACGAGGCAAATTGGTTTTCGATTCTTCCTCGTGAAACTTGCGACACGCCCGGCTCTAGCACGAAACAGATCTTTGGTGTGGCCGAATCCACCGAATTGAAAATACCAATGTTCCCACCTGCTAGTCCGAACTACGAGAGGTGCGATAGTCCAGCCCCACTCGTTCTCACTCAAGATGAGGCTGCACAATTGGAGTATCTCAAGATTCACGGTTTGCCACCCCCGGGAGAAGCGAAACCAGTACCGTCAGGTAAATGCGCAGTAGCAAACTTTTTTTTCCCCGTTAAATAACAAAAAAGAATATGCAAATACAACGTCGTCTTTTCAGATTTGAGGTACGGCTGGTGGAGAATAACGGACGTGGACACTTTCCAAGATGTCCTGGAGAATTTGCACTCGAGGGGTGTCCGCGAGAAAGAGCTTAAACGTACAACCTGGGCAGCGATGGAGTCTTTTCTCGCAGTGACTGGTAAAATCCACGTCGACCCGGGAAACCAGGCAGCCACTGATCTGTCCGACAGCGAAGATAACGCCAACGATCCCGTTTCCATCCCAGAGTCCGATGACCCGGAAGACTGGAGCCGAGAAGTCGCTCTGCGCGTCGATGCCCAGCTTCTCGAGCAGGTCGAGGCGCTCGAGGACAAGGTCGCGAATGCCAGTATGCAAGTCAAGGGCTGGAAATTGCCACCTCGAGCGGGTACCGAGGAAGCAGAGGAGCTCGAAAAACTACACGAAATGGAACAGATAAGCGCCGTGGAGCAGGCACGTCAGAGGCTACTATCCCTCGAGGCTGCCATCGAGAGGAGATACCTCAAGCCACCCCTTGGCATTTGGTATGTTACGTGATTATGGATGGTACGCGAGACAAGCAGTGAAACGTGCGCAATACTGACGTATTTAATTTCACAGTACCGGCGATCCGAACCTGTCCGCCCTGAAGGCAGAGCAGGCTGCAGCAGCTGCCGCCAACGCCAACGCGGGAGGCTCCAACTCATCAAACGACGGTGGATCGACGACAGGGCCCCCGGAGGAGACGACGCCACGCGGCCTGAACAATTGGCGCGAGGCAACGGCGAGAGCGCACACCTCGGCTCAGTTGGCCATGTCACTGTACATGCTCGAGGCCAGCATCGCTTGGGACAAGAGCATCATGAAGGCTGTGAGTCTTAAGTCAGCTAAAAAGTCGCAACGCGTCAGGCTGCAAAATCGGAGCGTTCGATCGCGCAAAATTATACAGCTTTTGTCTTCTATTCAGGCTTCTGTGGGTATTTATACTAACATACTAACCAATCCATCCTCGTACTTCAACATCCCCTCGACACTTCATGACACTAAAATGCACCTTTATGTCTATTATTTTTACAAAGATAGTACAGACCATTCTGCAAGAACCTGGGTAAAAACATTGAAATTGCACCATACCCACAATTATTGCTGGTTGAATCTTCGATTTTAAAGCTATACGATGACGCAAGATCTAAATCACTTAAAAAATCAGCGTTACCATCATTTTCATCAAACCATGAACTATCATCCGTGGTGCCAATTTAATACTTTCACTGTATTATTGGGTGTGCTTTATTAAGCGTATCTTATTTTTTTTTCATTGCAGAACTGCCAATTTTGTCATAGTGGCGACAATGAGGATAAATTGTTACTCTGTGATGGCTGTGATCGCGGCTACCATACTTATTGCTTCCGTCCAAAAATGGAAAACATTCCCGATGGCGATTGGTAAGTATTCGTTCTGCATTGAATGACAATCATCATAAAGAGAGGTAAAATATGGAAAAATGTTTTTTTTTTTTTTTTTTTGTTNGGGACGTAACGAGGTTCGTAAAGGAGACTTTTCGAACGAGTTCCGGAAAACTGCTTTTTTGCCCGAGGAAGTACCAGCCTCCCAAAACCACCCGAGGGCGGAAAAAATAATTTTGATTTTTAACACAAACTTTTGTTATGGATTGGGACAAATATTTTTGGTAAAAAAAAAACTCTGTTTTAATATAAAAATTTGTTAAACACAAACATCTATAATCTATGATTTATATACGTTTGTACCTACACGGAAAAAAAGAGCATTTTACATTGCATCGTGTCTGTCTAAAACTAATGAAAATGAAAGCTAAATTGAAAATAAAAATCATTCTCTAAATGGTGAATTATATCTAGTTTGACTTGAAAAAAAAAATAAACAATCAACTTTTGATCGGAAATCCGAATTGCACATTGAATGTAACGCAAAATCAAAAAGACAAACAATCATACATTAACTTGTATATACAATTGAATTATAAGTATACTAAAGAAATCATTAATGACTAGTACTCGAGACAATAATCTCATCAAAATAATTGTAATACAACTCACTTGGCGTGCAAATTTTTCATCAGTAATTAAAACACTCAGTATCATACTTTCAATGACTAAAAATTGATTTTTTTTTTTTTTTTTTTTATCATTATAGGTATTGCCATGAATGTATGAACAAGGCAACAGGAGAAAGAAACTGTCTTGTCTGCGGTAAACGAGTCGGCAAAAACTTGGTTCTCTGCGAGCTTTGTCCAAGGGCTTACCACACCGACTGCCATAATCCTGTTATGCCAAAGGTAACTATATTTTACTGCTCTCGAAGCCGTTTAATTTTCAACACAACCATCAGAACAAACACAAAAAAAAGAAACTAATATTTGTTTATGTGTACGTTATTTCAGATGCCCAGAGGGAAATGGTATTGTTTGAACTGTCACAGTAAACAGCCAAAGAAGAGGAATAGCAGCCGGAGAAGTCACAAGGGAGAAAAGGGAGGAGGCACGCGAGACAGTGAAAGTTCCGATCATCCACCAGCTAGGTGATTACGTTAAAAGCAAAACAAATGTGTCGGCTCGTTGGTCCAACGTGTTTTATTTACAAGGTTTACCATTGCGAATTACAAGATAAACTCTCAATCATTTCTAGAAGTATCTGTACGATATGTAACACATCCGCGTGACGTACGCGTAAACACACACTCACGCGCGCGTGCACATCATACATTTACATGAAAACACACTCATATTTCGTTCGCCAAGAGCTTTTACTCATACGCAACCGCTAGCACATTTCAAATTCACTGCTCGTATCAACGTGTATGATTCTATCATATTCCACCTGATGATTTGCTATAAAGTTCGATTAAATGCCTTATTAAAGATGATTATTGAGTAGCGACATCAACGCGATCAATGCACACTATATATACGTATATTTATTTTATATTTTTATCATCATTATCATTATTATTAATATTATTATTATCATTATTATTACTATTATTATTATTATTAATAATATTATAGTTAGTATTATTATTTATATGGATATCTAAATATTACTTCAACGTCACGGTAAGGTAGTAGTTTGGAACTATACACGTTCCCATACCTTGTCGTAAGTTGACCGTCCTGCACAATGTTTTTTCGATTTTGTAAAAACTCCGAGTGTAAAATCTGATATATAAAATTTGAATGTGGTAATTAATAAACCTTTGCACCATTGACTCATTGGATAGAAGCCCTAAAGCTTTTAGAAGCTGGTATGTTGTGTATGAAAGTGAGATAATTGATAGTAATTCGTGTATTATTCTGGGCCGCAGTCCGACACCGTCGACAACCTCAAATACACATGTAGAGGATGTGAGTTCGTCAGAACCGCCGACACCAACAGCTTCGCCGAGAAAAGAAGGAGGTGTCGGTAAAAGTTTAACAAAAAAGCAACAGCGAGAACTTGCACCCTGCAAAATTCTTCTTGAACAATTAGAACAGCAAGACGAAGCGTGGCCTTTTCTCTTACCAGTTAACACCAAACAATTTCCAACTTACAAGAAAATCATTAAAACTCCTATGGATCTTAGTACAATCAAGAAGAAGTTGCAAGACTGTGTGTAAGTTGACTCTGAATCTCGCCTTGCTTTACTTTGCTTTACATCACCGTTACTTTTCCCTCTTTTTTTTCATTTTTGCTCCTTTACCATTGTATTTTCATGTTTCTAGTTGTACATTTATTGTTCATCCTGAATTGTGTTGCACAAGTTTAGTGGCTTACATTATTTTATATATATATA